TCTTCGTTCAGTTACGTATTGCTAAAAAATTCTGTGGCGACAGAATGTCATTTAATATTTTGTTGCTGCTGGACAGCGCCGGACGATCGCCCCTACTGTTAGATGTCGTCCTTAGCGTAAAAGTGGTCTTCCTTCCTCCAACACTCGTCTTTAATCAGCCCATGGACCAGGGAGTTGATTTGCAATGTGAGCTGCATTCTCAACAAAAAATTCAGCTCTGAGCGACTACACCAACACCAGGGGAAGAGTTCGTAACCTGGTGACACCACCACCGATAGCAAGGGCGAGAAAACCGACGGGATCAACAGTTGGCCGAAGCAACAAGTACTTTTAAAACAAATTCTGGAGAATATTCAGCATCAAAGCTGTGGACTTCTTGGTGGAGCATGGGATCAGCTGTCTGTAGCAACTGTTCGTCACGCATGGAAACATGTGTTGCAAGGAAAAGAAGAAAACACAAGGTTCTAAGCGCTTTAAATGTAATTCACATCTTCAGGGATAAGTACAGACTAAAATAAAGTGCAAAACAAGGTGTATATATACAGAGGAGGGTGAGACCAGGTCACATGTGTCAAGTATAGTAATGACCTACAATCTTTAAATACTTACGGCAATGGTCTGTAGTCAGGTCAGAAGGTTGCCATGCTATTAAAAAAGTTGGTCATTACTAACCATTATGATTATCTAGATCCAAAGCGCACCTACAGTGATTTACTTGTATGTATATATATATATATATATATATATATATATATATATATATATATATATATATATATATATATATATATATATATATATATATATATATATAAAACTATATATATATTATATATATATTATATTTCATGTAAATCTAATAATGGCGATGGATAAGATAAATCTTGATAAAATCACACGGAAAATGGAAACAACGAATTACTCAGTATATACAGGCATATCAGTATACAGTAAAATAAGGACATGGGCAGGGTTTTGGAGGGCAGCAAAAGACACAGTTTTTAACATTCACGGTATCTCTGTTACCTAACCTGTATGTATATGTATATGTGTGTATATATATATATATATATATATATATATATATATATATATATATATATATATATATATATATATATATATATATATATATATATATATATATATATATATATATATATATATATATATATATATATATATATATATATATATATATATATATATATATATATATATATATATATATATATATATATATATATATATATATAATGTAATTTCATTACAATGTTCCAAGCAATTTTGAATGGCTAGCACATATTGCAATGACATTGTTTACAAGCTAATGGAATCTTTTGAACCCAGCTCCACACTTTGACAGAACTCCAGCAAATTCTTACCTTTTCAAGCAAATTATCCTATGTAGATATGTCAGGAAAAACCAGCAAGTTGCTTTCCCGATGAACCACTACTTTCACTTCAAAAGCCTCACCATTTACTCTCACAGAGGTTTTTGAGCTTGCATTATCCCGTAACAACTCGAACAAGGTACTCCTTGAGTCATAGCTTTCTCACTGTCCACTGTACTACACACTGAGAAATAACCATGTACATTATATATTCTTTAGTGTGTAGTATTTCCACAGTTTCGAGGGCATTTATGGTGGAACCACTGCTAAAAATTCCAAATTCTATTATTGAGAGACATATCACTTCTTAGGGTGAGAATTTATTCTTTACACCACAAAAAACGTCAATGAATTTCATCCATACAATTTGTTATAAATTTGGCAATTTTCTGGAAATCGTTTAAGAGTCTACAGGTGTTCTCCAAATTGGATAGGAAACAATGGCACCTTATCATCCAGGTAATCACACAAATTTTTAACCCAATTTTTGTGAAATACATTCTCGAATGATAAGCGGAGGAGTGTGACAGTCTGGATCTCAGAGCGTTTTGAAGGCAGTGCGCGAAAAATTTTCACCTCTCTCTCTCTCTGTCTCCCTAGCGCAGGGGTGGTGATTTTATTGGCGAATCACTCTACCGCACTTATTTGGGTTATGACAGCCAAGGAGAATTCAGAAGTGGTTTACATAGTAAAAATTAAATGAATCATTATTCTTTTGAGAATTAGAGCTTATATGCTTGACCAAGTATTACATTGTACAACTGATGCTCTATTTCAGCTGTAATTATATTAATAAGGGATGGAAAAATACATGATAAACCCAATAAATGGTTGACTTTTTAAACTGTAAAGCTTTTTTTATGATTAACAATGCATTTTAATGTATGAATGATACTCTAGAAAGGGTAAAATAGATTATATAGGGCATATTAATTGCAGTAAAGGATGATCATGGTTCTTTCTGAATCTGATTTTCCCATACTTTATGAATTGATTGCATGGGTGCAGTTTTATGTCCCCTTCAGGCAAACCCATGTAAAAATAAGAGTTTACTGTATACTTTATTTAACTGAAAAAACATAAACTACTGAAAACACAATCTTCACATTTTCTAAAGTTAAAACCCAAATACCAATTTTGATCTCACAAATAAACTTACGTGTGATAACCCTAATGACACAAGGGTCAAGCTGATTTTTGTTTGACGGTCCCTTATCTTTGTTTGCAAAGCATTCGCCCCCAGTGAGGGATGAAGATGCAAGAACTTCCATTGGGAAAAAATACCGCAGAAGGTCATTGATGTACCGGTTAGCATTGGTACGTCTGAACTTGAAGTAGTCACTGGCATGTATAGTCACACCTCCACCCAAGTCCAACTGCAATTTATAACACCATTATTAATTAGAGTAGATTAAGACATGCAGGTTTAATGAAGATGACAGCAGCCACAATGCTGAAAACATACAGGAGACATACGGTAATTAGTACATACACACATATACAGTATACCTAACATGTAATGATTTGAAGAGAATCATTTAAAAGAAGACTTTCAAGAGTAGTGTAGTGTGTGTATGCGTGTACATGGGGTCCTCGACTTACGAATGTCCGACTTAGGAACGCCCGCCGATACGAATGGGGTTAAACTTGAAATGTACAGTATTTTATTTACATGAGGACTTATTTTTTACTTACATTTAGTGTATTTTGTCATTCTATTTCTTTTTTTTTGTCTTAAATTAAGTGATTTTAGATGTGTATAAGGACTTAAGCTATGATATAATGTAATTTTAAACAATGTTCTGTAAGTACAGTATGCAAATAGCATGTGTTCCGACTTACGTACAAATACGACTTAAGAACGTCCTCTGGAACGAAACCCATTCGTAATCTGGGGACCCCTAAAATAATTAATGGTATAAGTCTATACTTATGAGAAATAGGATGTGATTGAAAACAAAGTGAAAAATATGAAATGCTAAGCTAACATCTTTAATATTCACTTCAGTACAGTAATACATAATTATTAAAAAATTTATAAACAATCTTTGGAATATCCAAGCAAAATATAAAATACTGTAAGCAGTGGTACGATACCTGTTCATACAAAACACACGACAATGGCTCAGAGAGATACAGATTGTACCTCTCTAGTCCGGCAACCTCGGGACCTGACCAGTGCCAGACCATGGAAATTGCCGGACCATGGGAATTCACCCTTTTCCTGGATAGATAGTGACTTGTGCTTATGCTTGGAAGCACTAGCACCACTTTCTCTGCATCATGGTCTCTTTGAAGACATATTGAAGGGTTAAATGTCGCATAGTAGCTTCTCAAATTTTGCGAGTTTTTAATTCAACGTATTTTATTGGAACACAAAAAAAAAATAAAAAAAATTTTGACGGCGGAAACTTGAATTTTGACGGGTTTGAACGGCGCCAACATGCAGACGACGTGCATAATCGTGTAAGCAGAGTCATTTCTCTTATGTACAAAAGATTCATTATTGTTTATTACTGAATGTCTTTTATTGAATTAATGTTTATGTGTGCAAAATGAGCAATACAATTCATTAATAATACGTAGAATATTAAAACACACGAGGAAATGACACACCATTGTTTTCGTTGATTACAAAGCCAGTGACTGACTGGTTCTACATATAAAACTGAAGAAAATAAGACCTTGGTTGTAGCTGTAGTAAAATTAATATGGTTGTTTTAAGTAATGTTATTTAATGTTATTAAATGGAACAATAGAAGTAGCTAACGATAATGGTAAAGAAAAAAGAGAGATCACGTATGTAAGTGCGCATGCGCACACGTGAAAACATATCGTCATTACTTTACATAAGAATATGAAAGCAACACTTATTTACTGTTCATATATATTTTAATTAATGTTTCTGAATTTGTTTTTATTGAATTAATGTGTGTGTGTGCAAAATTAACAATACAATTTATTAATAATACGTGGATTAAAACACACGAGGAGACGAGACGGCTGCTGGCATTGTTTATGTTAAAGCTTACAAAACCAGTGACTGATTGGTTCTACATATAAAACTGAAGAAAATAAGACCCTGATTGTAGCTGTAGTAAAATTAATGTAAAAAAAATTAATATGGTTGTTTGAAGTACCTGTAATGTTATTTAATGTTAATAAATGGAACAATATAAGTAGCTAACCATTAATGGAAAAAAAAAAGACTGCGCGTATGTAAGTGCGCACGTGAAAACATATTGTCATTACTCTACATAAGAATATGAAAGCAACACTTATTTACTGCTCATATATATTGAGGGTTAAATGTTGTACTCTGTATAGACAAGCAGAGAGTGAGAGAGAGCAGCCGAACTGCCGATGTAAACAAACCTTAATTTCCCGCGGCTTTGTTGTTTGTTTTTTTACGGGGATTAGCCCATCCGGGCATAGGTCACCAACCTACATTAGGGCCTGACGGGCAACATTTTAATACTCCTGTAATAATAATAATAATTCAGATAAAAAAAAAGAAAAAAAAAGCTGCCTATCTACCTACTGGACAAACCAAAATCGTTCCGAACCACAGAATGCCGGACTAGAGAGGTACAACCTGTACTTAAGGAAAACAACGTAACTGCCAATCACAAGAGGGTAAGCTCAACTCTTCTCTGTATTGTTTCTTCATATTTTGTACTGTATTTCCTATCACATTTTACCCTATTCTTTCCACGGATTCATAACAGAAAAACCAACATTGTAAATGTAAGAATAGTGTTAGTAAAAAAAATTTAACTCGGCGTATTTTCATTACTTTGGAAAAAATACAACAGAAAACAAAATTCTTTTAATTATTGGGTTTTAATTTGCAAATCAGTGTATGGGACAAAAAAAAAGTAACATGATTTTCGTAAGAAATAAATAAATAAAAATGCTTTGTATACAAGGTTTACCAATAGATATTATTTGAAGGAAAGCAAAAAGATTAACCTAACACTGAACAGGTTTTGATGCAAAAGTAAACAGATACATGTCCTTCCTTACCATGTCTTCAGAAACCCTTGGTAATTCTGGTACGGGTGCTGGAGTCTCTGATGACTCATCAGATTTGCTTTTCTTTGGTGTGTGAAGTGCTGAATCATCCATTTCACCATCAGAGAAGTTGACAAGTGAAGACTCGGAGTGCACCTCATAGGGACGTTTACGCTCTGGACTCATCATGACGTTTGGTTCCAAAGCTCCAGTTACCACTGAACGCTCTGTGGGCACAATCGGAGTATCTGATGCTGCTGCTTCCCGCGCAAACATCCCTAAGCCTCGAATCTGCAAGAATGAAAATAATTTGTTCCATAATTACTTTGCATAATAAAAAAAAGTCATCTGAGGATTGCACATCTTAGCTGTGGCTTATTACGAGGAGAAAAGAAGTGTAGCCAGAAGTAAGAATAAGTGATCAATTAATGGCATTATTTTACATGTGATAAATGAGGACTACTTTTATCTGTAAACAGTATAGCTTATATGCTATACCTGTATTATGTTTCAACGGAATGTGTAACTAAAAAAATTAAATTAAATTAAATATCATTTAAGTATGTTTCAGGATATTTTTTTTTTGGTCCATTGGAACTTTTTCCAATTACGTATACAGTCTCTCCTCGACTTACAGCGGGGTTCCGTCCTGACGACCAGGTTGTAAGTCGAACTGGTCGTAAGTCGAAAAGGCGAAAATAATACAGAAATTCTAAAATGGGTGTCTCTTTTTCTTCTCAACACCACGAGAACTCTAAAACTTTTACACTTGCCAGCCATTTTAAAGGGAATTACAAACAAAAATTTTGTCAGTACACAGCATGATCACAAACGTCGGGACTCGAAAATACGTAATGTGAAAATATATTTTAAACGATCATGGCCGTCATATGTCCGGGTTATCGTACGTAGAATATGTCGTAAGTCGAGGACTGTATAATAAAACTATACTGGAAATTAGGTTTCAATTAATGGAATTCTGAGTTACAGACAACTTTTCCATAACTTCATGGGCTAGCCATGACTATCTAATGTCAACTTTCAAGCTGGATGGTCTTTGCTGCCTAACTCGTTAAATGCATCTCTTGACCCAATTGGTCTCCTCCATTCTCTCCACATGCCTGAACCATCTCAGCCTACCTCTATGTAAAACCTTAAAAGTACACTCAATATCCAGTCAGCCTCTTAGCTCTGAACAGTTTCCTATCTTTCAATTTCAATTAAATATCCATCTCACCACTGTCATTTCAACTCATTTAAACCCAATGTATGTCACCCTCTTGAATTTCTCACGTTTCACTGCCATATAACAACATTTTTATCACATCTGCTACATACAACTTTACTTTCAAGTAAAGAGAAGGTCCTCTCACCAATCAAAAAAGGCAACAACTCCCTAAACTTCTTCGACCCACTTTGGACTTCCTTTCAGCTCAATTAAGAGGTCTATTTTTGAGACATAGTGTCCTCAAACTGAAGGGTAAAATAATGGGACAAGTGGTCAGAATAACACAACGCTACTGGTGTCTAGCATAAACTGAGTGTGAAGAAAATAACACTACATGTGATTAGTGAAAACAAACTATGAACCAACTTCTAGCAGGCCTTGTGATGAGTTGTATGAAAAGGGCTCTTGACAAATTCTTAACTGTATTCATTATTTTCTTTAATGCATTATTTGGGCCTCAAGTCCCAGTTTGCAATTTTTTCAATATTTTCCTAAATGATTGACATGCAGACCTTTCACAGTGTTTGCAGTTTTTTTGTGTTAAAAATTAATTCCTTAACCTGAGAATGCAATAATAAAAAGGCCAGCATTTGTGAAGGACAACTGTATTATTGAATCCTCATTAAGAGTTACATTGTACAAAGTCATTAAAACAAATTACATTATTCAGCTGTAACTGTATTGAAGCAACTGTGTACTGTTGATGTCAATGTGAATTACAGAGGATCTCCTATCCTAACTTAAAACGAAGCACAAAAAGGTAGAAAGGATTAAAAGTCATTAAAATATAAATACAAAATATGACCAAACATCTAATTTCTATTTTCAAGTTTTATTCACTTTATGGAAAACACTAACACTACAAACCTAAAAATGGGATAGGAGACAACCTTTAAACAAATTTCTAAGGGACTGTCTGTGAACAGTCCTGAATGGATTTAGATAAATGAAAGTGTACAGGAAGACAGCAAGCAAATTGCCACATTATTATACAGTAAATAAGGATAATACCTGTAATCCCTCTGCAGTCTTGAGCAATCCAGATAGTGATTCTTGTGGAATATGCACAACACCACGGTACATGAAATCAAGAAGAGCTTCCATATCCTCACTTCGAACATCTTTCATGTAGACTGGAATATAAAGTGTTACAGATTGAAAAATTTTTCTTATTGTGTCTCACCACCTCACCACAAACAAAACAGACGACCTATCTTAAAAAAAGTATCTGTTGACATGGTTGCCTCTGCTGCACAGCAAATTTATCAATGGAGTACAACTCTGACAAAGCATATGACTTTAAGTTTCCTGCATTGTGTGTTGAGTTGATATAGTAAAAGTATTACCAACTGAAATACAATCAAAACATACATATAGGTACAAAAGTTTTGTTCTGGACAATATTTTGACATTTGACATTCAATAGTCACAGTAAAGACCAGAAGGATTTACTAGAAGAAGAGTTAGTCAGGACAGCCGGTCTTTCTTTTTATAAAATTCAGCAGAGAATATAAATATTACTTACCAATAGGATGCTTGCAAGGATTGGTGGTGAACATCTCCTTGAAATATTCACTGCACATTGACAAAACAAACTTATGGGCAGAAAATAGCTTGCCATCACAAGCAAGTGTAGCATCGATGAGAGACTCCTGCAAAAATGGAAAAATAATTAGTTTCAGAAGCATATACAGTATGGGCATCCCTTGTTTAGCCTTAACTTAATTCACTAACATTAATTCAGTTTAACGATAAACATATTTTGACACCCTTTCTCACTTAACGTTAGGTCAGAACTTTGTTTAGTGATAGCTTGACTCGCTAGGAAGCGGAAAACTGGGGATGAGGTGGCCTGTGAGATGGCATGTTGCTGTTGTTACATGAATTGGAACAAAGTTGTGGAATAAGCATTGCAATACTCTAATGTGGCTTAGAATAAAGAAAATATATTAAAAAAAAAAAAAAAAAATAAGAGCATTAGAGTGTATGTGTGGGAAATGAACATATGCATGGACTGGTAGAGGCAGTGGCCTAAAACTGTGTCGCCGACTTGCCACCCACCAGCGCTCCCTCCCCTGGTGTGATGTCATGGCAGACACACACATCTTATAGCTGGGTGTCTGCCCGGCTGAACTGTGTCGAGTCGCCCAGAGGATGGTTTGAGTGTGGAAGGAGTTATTTTTTTTATATAAAATATTTGCTATTGTATTTTATATGATATGTTATGTATTAATGTTATTGTTCATCACTGCAAATTTTCTTTATATTTGACCTATGCAATTTGAAATTTGTTCAAATTAGGCTCACCTCTTCCTCTCTAAATCATTTAACTGTGAACTACATCGTTTATGCACAAGTTTGGTGTTAATAAATTAATTCCTTAATTCAAAACCATTTATAACAAACTCTTTTATTATTATTTGGGAGACTGTATTCAGTGTTTACTACCCTTCAGTTTGAGCCTGCTGTTCACACTCCACACTTTGCTGATATGTATCCCTCTTTTAGCAATAATTTTGCTGAACGTTATGTTTTCACAAACGCAACCCCATCATTAAACGAGGGATACCTGTACAGTATACTACTGTATTCTTAATATACCACGTCACCCAGGTAGAACTCATCAACACAATCCATGGATATGTCCAATAGTTGAGTTTCTCCAGCCTTGTTAAGACCACATGATTATCTGCCATTTACCGGTACACCAATGCACCTCTTGTGTACCAACCTTCCACATTCACTGACATTACTGAGTTGGTGCCAACACTTTTCTTGCAGACAGCACATAACCATTTTCTATTTTCCATAACAGGTCCTTCAAACCCATGCCAACTTTGACTCCATTCCATTTTCCATTTCCTAAATTTACCTAGAACAATGGGAGATAGGACCAGGAACATTTGTGAAGCAAAAAATTTTAATACAGTATTAGGGTGTGTCATAGGAGGGAAGATCAGCTAAAACTAATGGCCCATCACTTTTTTGGTAGATTTTAGTGTATATAAACAGAAAATAATTTCAGTTTCAATATTTTGCAACCTTTTGCTAGGTAAATTTTAGCGTGAAATTTATCGAAAAACTAACGTACAGCTGCATTAGTGCATTACAATTAAATAGTGAACATTGCTTTCTGACTTCATTCTTTAACAACCCAACTAACAATATTTTTTTCTGTTTCAGATTCTGATGCATTTATAAGTTGATAATATTTGCGATGGCTGCTTGTGTCAGGACGAGGAACCAAAAATCCAGCCATCTCAGTCACTATCTTGGGTCTGGGAGAGAGCTCCTGAAGTCGGAGTTGCCTACATTGAGAGATGCTTTGAGATACGGTGTTTTAATCAGGCAAATCAGTGAAAAGAACCAAAGAACTTACACAAACAAAGACATTGCCAGTGATATGACCAAAGCTGTCTTGGCACAGTACACTCTGGCTAACGCTCAGTTCAAGCCTCCAGTCATAACAAGTCAGAAGAAGATTAGTGAGAGACTGCTAGCCAGTTGGGAAAAGGCAAGAGATATCTCTCTTGGGAGAGGAAAACTTGCAGTTAAGGAGAGCTTTGCCAAGCAACTGGACCAGTTATTTGACATAATTACTTGCAAGTGCCCAATTGTTCTCTGTCCTGAGTTTGGATGCGATCGTGACTGTAAATCCGAGGCCCACATCTCCTGTATTTGCAAGCGTGAACTAAAGATTCCTGTGATCGAACTGGCATTTGTCAAAGCACAGAGAGAGAAGACTGGCAGTATAGGGGCTCTCATGATTTCTAGCCAAGATATTCCGGAGTCCAAGAGACAGGAGGCTGCCACAGAGAGACAGAAGAGAAGAGTTGCCGAGGAAAAGAGACTTGAGAAGGCCCAGGGTGAGGTAAAAAAGGCCGATGATTGGAGTCAAGCTGATTCAGAGTTTAATGACTTCCCCATGGCTGATCCGAGTGCTGACCAGGAGAATGGTGACTTTGTCCCTAACCCAGAAAATAATGATCCCAAACCTTCCAGGCATAAGATTCGAAATAGGAAAGATATCTCGAGCATAGCTCTGGCCAGCATGCGACACCACACTGGTCTCCAGAGAAACTGCAGAGATAGCAACAGCTGCCTGGGTTGACGGTGGTTTGATAACACCTGATGATGTTCACCTGGTGATAGATCATAACAAAGTAAGGAGAGCTCAGGAGAAACTTGTCAGTAACCTAGAAGAGGAGTTTGATAAGGGGATAAGAGAAAATGGAATCAATTGTTTGTTCTTTGATGGGAGAAGGGATGACACTAAAGTGTTCATGAAAGTTGGAGATTCTGACAAGTTGTTCCCTGCCATGGTGAAGGAGGAACACTACTCCTGCTGCAGTGAACCAGGAGGGAAGTATTTGTGGCATTTCACTCCAGAGAAAGATGACATCAGGAAACCAGCTGAGATAGTGGCAGATAACATTGTGAACTTGCTCAGAGAGAGGAACGTAGACCAGACCCTGCAGGCCATTGGAGAGGACAGCACCAACACGAACACAGGGTGGCAAGGGGGGGTCATACAGTGGATAGAGCGGAAGATTGGGAGGAAGCTGGTCTGGATTGTTTGTGGCCTCCACACCAACGAGTTGCCACTCAGACATCTGATCCAGGAGCTGGATGGCAAGACTCTTTCAAACAACAGATGGTCTGGTCCTCTTGGCAAGATGCTGGACTCTGCCACTGAGTTAGAAATAAATCCGAGCTTTGAAAAAATCACAGTTGGCCCTCCACTCGTTGAGCTTGCACATACTGTCATTGACGACCTGAGTACTGACCAGTACTATGGTTACATGATTTGCAGTGCCATCAAAACTGGGGTCATGCCTGATAGACTTGCTTACCTGCAGATAGGTCAGTCTCACATTCTAGGTGGCTCACAACGGCTCTCAGGTTCTGCAGAATTTGAGTCGCTCATCATAAACTGAAAGGAACCAGCTTCACAACCTGAGACTTATTGTCCAATTCATCGTGAGTGTCTACTTGCCAAATTGGTTCAACACCTAGGTCAAGTCATCGTTCTCCGAAGGTCCGAGGCATGTTCTCTTCCAGCTTGAGCTCCTGAGGAGTCAGCCAAGGAAGGTTGTTCAGATTGTGGAGCAGACTGTGAGGAGATCTTCCTGGTATGCTCATCCCGAGGCAGTTCTGCAGACAATGCTCTGCAATGGGATGAGGAGGAGAGAAGAAGAGTGGCAGTCAAAAAGATCTTGGATATGAGACTTATGAGAGGATCTGGGCATGCGAATCAGTTGGTGGCGATTCCATCAGGGTCAGGAAGACTCCTGAAGTCAATCTGGGTGCCAAGACCTCACTGATCTCATAGATCTGGATAACATCAGGCTGGCAGTGGGCCCCCTCTCAGCTTTTCCTGGACAACCCCATGCATGTCCCTGCCTGGCCCTCGCACACCCAGAGTATAGAGCGTTGTGTACAGCAAGTGAGCGAGGCCAGCAGTCACGTGTACAGCCAGGAGAGGAGGGAAGGCTACATCCGAGCTCAGGTGGTCAGCAGGGAGGTGATGAGTAGAAACAGAAGCAAGAAAGACATGTTCTCTATGGTGTGCAGCAACACCGGGTCGTAGTAGTAAAACCGGTTTTTGTATTTGATGATTTTGTTTTCTAAAGGAATATTAAATTTAATAAATGTGTCAAGATCATTCGTTTCACTATTCTGGATCATTTTCATCCTAATAAATTAACCTGATACATTTACTTTACTTTAAATAAGCTATTTAGTGGTGTTGGTAAAAGGGTGGGAATACTGAATTTTCATAAGATTTCAAGTTAAAATTTACCTAGCAAAAAATGAAAACTTTTCAAATCTGAAGATATCACATGATTCTGCACATAGAACTACATCATTAATACCATGGGCCGATTTTTCAAACTAAAAAAAAAAAAAAATTCGCCTCCGTATGACACACCCTAATACAGTATAAAAGAATATTGTATAAATAATTCAATACATAATAAGGGGTTAGGGTCCAAAGGCCCAAAAAATTCACCAAACAATACTTAAAGGATTTAATTACTTACCAAACACAAGCAAGAAATGTACAGCATTTTGGTACACTATGCAAAAATAGAGAGAACTGTGGGGAAAAAATATATATAGATTCAGCGGTAATACCAGATGATGATCGCACAAATATAAGCAACTTAAGGAAATACTTCTCAAAAAAATTTCATGGATGGAAGTGAATCAGTCCTGGATGTAAACATTGGAGCTATTGCATCATACCACATGGCCATGCATATACAGTACAGTGGTCCCTCGGTTAACGAACACAATCCGTTCCAGCAGGTTGTTCGTTAACCGAAACCATTGTTTCAATGGGTTTTTGATAATTGGTTCCAGCTCACCGAAAATTGCCTAAATTCAACAAAAATGGTAGAAAAGTTCACTTACTTTGAGGTGTTTATGTAGAAGGCTGCTGGATGATGATGATGATGATGATGATGGGAATAAGAATGGGGGTGGAGGAGAAGGAAGAAGAGAAGGCATTGGGGTGGAAGAGAAGTCACCCCATGGCACCATTTCACCCCATAAAATTTTAGTTCTCTTGGTGTATTTCAAGATTATTTTCTTTAAATCAACACTGCACTGCATTATATATTGTCAATATGTAAAATATATTTCAAAATTACCAATAATTTGCTTGGAAACACAGAAAAAAAGCATTTAGTTGAAGAGAGTCTCAAGCAAGATGTTACCTCCAGTGAAAACAGAGACTAATGCCTGTTTGCTGTGTTAAGAGGCTGGATGCCGCGCATTAAACTAGTCACTTTGCCTTCAATTATGTTCAATAATTGTTAAAATGACTAAAAATTGAATATTAAACTTTTAAAATTATTGAATAATATAAACTTCTTGATATTTACTAAAATAGTAAGGAATTTAAGCCCTAGAACCGATTAATGTATTGGCGGACTAATACTAAAGCTGGTTGACCGGCCAGTGCAAGCGAAAACATGTTGAGGTCGGTTCGTAAGAAATTCGTTAACCGAATTTTTGTTCGTTAACCGAATTTAAGAATCTTATGGGAGGCAGTTCGTTAACCGAAATTTCGTAAACCGAGGCGTTCGTTAACCAAGGGACCACTGTACTCAGAATGAAAAAATTGCAAAAAACAATATTACAAAAAACTTACTCCAGTTTACTAACTCAGTGTCCAGGTAAACCCTTCAAACCGGTTCTCAGAAAACAGACAATTCTCAAAAAGTCAAAATTATCTTCCCTGGCTAAATCAAGTTTTCCTTCCATACAGTACACTCATCTGAATGTTTGTTTTACTTCTTAAATAACAAAATAAAGAAAATATCACTGTACAGTATACAGTACTGTACAGTAAATATAATTACTGTACTTTCAGTAAGTTTTTGAGAGCCAAGAAGCAGTTGCTAGATGTAGAGAGTTCACAATTATCTGTATTGTGATTGAACACCGGTAAATAATCCAATATTGTATCACGTGGTATTCTGTCAAATATTGTCTTCAGGTATATAAATCAAAGCAGCTACAGGTTTCTCTCCTTTATATATTTCTCTTGTAGGTATGTGGCCATTAATATTGCATCAGAAGATCCCCTGCCTGGCAGGAACCTAAACTGCATGTCATAACCAATTTCTCTATTAATCTTTCCACAACTTTCAGAACCTGAACTAACAGCTTCAGGTCCCTACATTTTCTACAATCAAGTACATCCCCTATTCACATTCATGCTCTTCAGCCAGTCAGCTGGAATAATATATTACAGTTGGTCCTCATATTACGCGGTTAATGTAACCCGGAGGGTACCGCGGAAAGTGAGAAACGCGTAAAGTGAATAACATAACATATGGGATTAATTGAAATGGAGTCCGGGCCGATCCCCAAACTCCACTTTTTGATGACACACAACTATGTTGTAGTAAAAATATTATCTTAACTTTATGATGGCATGCACACACAATTAATAATTAAGAGAAATATCAATAATATTAGGTTTTTTAACACTTACATTAGTAGAAAAGATGGCTGGGCACAAGGGGATGGGCGGTTGGTTCCGAGGCAGAGGGCAGATTATTGGCCCTCACCTGTATCACTTGTATCACTATCCACCACAGAGGCTTGCAGGGCCTCTTTGTCAAACCCCCCAAAGTTCATATAAGTCCATATCCTCACTATAATTATCACTGACTTGGACCGGCTGTAGTGGGTGGCGGGTGAAGAACTGGTCATGTTTTGATGACTGGGCGACCTTGTGCGCACCATTTTCGCGCCTCTTACACAACATGGCGGATGGCGGGAGGTTTGGATCCAAAAATGGCGCAGCTTGCCAGCCGCTCTCCGCGTAATGGGGTTCACGACCGCGGAATGTGAAAATGTTAGGTTCTGGCAAGGCACCGCGTTAACGGTGAAACGTGGAATGCGGGACCGCGTAATATGAGGACCAACTGTACATCATAATTTCTTTAATCAATTCAAAATCACCACTGTCATGCCAACCCCATCTGATGCTTTCAACATTTCTGCAACTATATATTCCAGAGCTGCCAGCAGCTTATCCATTCTTCATATTGTTGAATGCTTTCTTCACCAATCCTCTTTTATTCTCCGTACTGGCTCTGCTGCTTTTTCAATCTCCTCATTCAGCAGACAATTTTAGTATTTTCTCCAAGGATCATTTATTTCCGCATTAACAACAACCACATTACCTAAGTAGTTTCTAACACACTGTCACCAACTACCTGTACATCCTTGTTTCTACAAACTCGCCTTACTATTTTGTATAATTCATCTTTAGCATCCAAGCTATTCAGCTTATCTTCAAATACATCCTGTTTGCAGTCCTTAGCCTTAAAAATCTCTCTTCTAAGCCTGCACTGGGCATCCAGGTTCTCTTCCTTGTGATACAGCCTTCTTTTCTCCATTATCACTGTACATCTGACAGGGCCCTTTGTCCAGCCACATACCTTTTCGGCCACACAGAAAATCATTTAATTTGGCCCAGGTTCTAACTACACTTTCCCTCACACTGTCCCTGCCATTTCTCAAATCTGTATAAAATGCTTCCTTTACAACCTGTTTCTTCCATAATCAAACTCACTCTCTTGGAACACACACCTTGCTTTCCTTGTACAGTACCATTTAAACAACAAGCCATACACATGTAATCTGAGGCACATTCTTCCTCTGCTACCATCTTTACACCCCTAACAAACTTCTTGTTTGATTTCCTGACAAGTGTGTAGTCAATCTGGGTGTTTTGTGCTGCCTGAAATTTTTTAGTAATTATCCAGAGGGTGCAAACCTCAAGCTGGGAAGAAAAAGACAGACGGCGATAATAATTTGGGCATTGTGGTCCCCAGAAAACTCTTTAAAAATGGAGTATATTCTTGCAACCTTAAATTGTTCTAAGATAATCAATTAATCTAGGAAATTTAAATTAAGTTCAGTTAAACTGTATTAAAAAGTTTACCTAGTTTATTAATTTCATTGGTTGGCAAAAAAGTTAATTAATTTTATCAATCTAACCCCAGTGTTCACTAATTAATCAATTTTGTATATGTATAGCAGGATTGCATATAGTGAAGAAAGCTGTACTGTAATACCATTTCAAATGTAATCAGCAAAATGCAATGAGAACCATATGTGAAGATGTAAAGACAAGAGCAACATCATCACCCTTATATGGCGATTTTCCACACTTGCATGGATAAACTAATATTACCTAATAGCATGGTGTCCAGTTGCCATTAGGCAAATGTGAAGCAAGATTTATAACTGGTTGCCTCTTCTATCACCAACCAACTCTTTCTGAGTGAGATGTTGGATTTCCAAGTGCCTTCTTAACTGGCAAGGCAGGGTCACTACTACTACCCGATAAAATCAAAGATTTCCGACCTACAGTACAATATTTGGGTGATAGAAGCCAATCAATTATATTTACCCACCGTGTAAGCTACAGTAAATGTTTGACAATTATAAAAGGAGCTGAATACAATAATTGTATAAAACCTATACTCAAGTACAGTACTGTATTTAGGCCCTCAAGAAATTCAGATAGGTCATGTAAAACCCAATATGAACAAGATTTACATCTGGAGGCCCATTACACTGGCAAGGGGAAGGGGTTAACCATTCCCAAGTATGAAATTATTGGTTGCTTAATTGAAGGCCCTGTGATGCCAGTGGCAATAGTCTCTCAGTCCCTCTTAATGAGTCCTTAAGTTTTGTTTGCTAAACAAAGGAGCACATAACATTTTTTAGTGAAAGAAAAAAATATTATGCCAATTTGCAAAACTTTAAACATTTCAGACTTATTTCATGCATGCATGAAAGGATAAGTAAAGCCAAGACAAATGATCTGCTTCACATACTTAAAGAGTGTAGCAGAGATCCCAGTGCCAATTGAATTCTTCAATAATATTCAAAGATTGATTTGCTGTGCATGGCAAAACTCACAAACACTAAGGAAATGTTAGCCCTGAACCTGACACATTATCAAGCAACTAGCAGAGTAATATGCATACAACACACAAAAACTTTGAAGGCAAGTAGACAATAGCATATGGCAGTTCAGCCACTACGCACCACTTACCTCATAAACACAATGTATGGCACTCATATGCTGTACTGTAGAGTAGTTGAGACTGTGTAGTGGAGGTCTACATAATTAACATAAAAATAAAAGAAAAAATAACCCCTTGGCCTTTTAAATTTCATAAGAAGCACAAGATGGCACAAGCCAGAGGCAGATAACTTGTGAGAAGTGTGTAATCGAAGTTTATGATTCTGGGGTTCACGTTGAGCCAACTGGTTCCTGAATTCATCCCAGCGATTTCAGAGCAGCCTGGCTTCAGTTTGTTAAGTGGGTGTTTCTGTTGTAAATACACAGATCTTACAGGAAACTGTACCTACCTCCAAAATGCAGAGTTCCTACAACAAGGCAGGCTCTACCAGGAGAGTGACATGTGACTAATGACCCATGATACTGTACTCAAAATCAAATTCCCACTGAATAGTGTGTTAAACAGTCAGCCACCCACCTCTTCTCGCAGAGAGTAAAGAAGCTGTGACAATGTAGTCAAGTGGTTGTTCCACCTCAGAGCTATCATTTCTTCATCTGTATTTGTCCTGCAAGTTAACAAATAATTACTCATCCTAAAACTCATCTTTCAAAATGTTCCTTAAAGTATGGTATTTGTCTGTCATTCATTAAATTAAATTATTACCAGCTATTTAATTATTTTAAAATGTTTTTATAATGAATCATCAACTGGTACTAATTGTTGGCTCATCTGGTTATCTCAAGTTTAAGGAGCCATTGAAAATAAGTGGGTCCCATAGGCCTGAAAGCTCAATAAGGTCAGTATGTATAAGCACTGTATACTGTACTACTTTTGATACACATGAGTGTGGCTAGTACTATACCCAATCACATTAATTTCCAAAAGTGTACAGTTCGGTGGATTGGGAGTGCCTTGGGATCAATTTAACAGCCCTTTGGACATGAGGTAAATGTTGCATCTGGTCAGCTGCTAAGCTCCAAAAGGAAATCAATAAAGGATAACAATACAGAGAAAATTACATGAATAAACATTAGTATATTCCTTGAGAAGACATGAGAATCATAAGACACCTTCTGTCCATTAAGCTTGTTCATGACTTGCAGAATTAGTCTATAATTGCTATACATTGACTGTAACCTACCAATTCAGGACAACCCACTTCAGTTTTCAGCTCACACATGCATCCCCCAAGGAGGCAAGAAGGAATATGGGTCTCGTGATCTGCCATATATGAATGGTTATAAAATAGAGTATCATGATCAATCCCTCACATATAGCCTTTGAATATCTTGGGTGCTTTAAGTTACCCAAAGCCAGCTAAGAAAGGGAGGTATAAGGTATCAATAAGCTCTAAAGGCCAATACAATTCACACCCATTTAAGGAAGCAGTGGTACTAAATCATTTTATGTAAAGGTACTGACCCCAAAAACTCCTTAGGACCATAAAATATTCATCAATTACAGTACTGTATTTAAAATCATTAAGGCTTCCAATAATGAATATTCTTGCCAAAGCCCAGCCCATTCAAACTGGACTGATGTAAAGGACATGCCATGCAGGTAAGCCAATGAGAATGCTATACCTCTAAAGGCCATACACTCAAGGAACAGTCCTGAGCTGCATGAGCTGTAAATAAAGGCTCTAAATGCCCCCCCCCCCCACCAATCTAAGATTTAAGTATGATTTCATATAAATGCGCATTGTCCAAAGTGAGCCATCACACCTAATTTAACATGAAGCCTTTTCCGTAGACATAGTGAAAGCCATTTCCAAGTTTGAACCTATTACTCAAGCCTAAAAGATGTCCGATTTTTAATCTTAGACTGGCTTATGAAAGCAAAGAACCAAAAGTAATAAAACCATCATCAAAGTCTGAAGTTAAGAGTAAGAGGATGGTTGTCTTTATGGTGTCAAATGCAAAATACCCTACTAAAAGTAAATTCAATGAATTCTAGGAAATAAAGAACAGGTTCACGGGACCATGATAACCTGCATTTATCTCGAGTCTTTGCAGAATAAAAATCCTAACGGTGTTAATACTCTTCATGAGAGATCAAAAGGAAATCCCTTCCTCAGGTGTCATGCAAGCACACATTTAGCTATAAGTTGCTAGCTACTTAGAACCAAAGCCATGAACCAAAAATCTCTTTACTCAGGTTAAAATCTGACCCACATTTACTCCAGAAATTTATTATGAAAATGTAATAGTGGTAAATATTGTATTGCAATTATCCATAAACAAGTGTCTTCCTTCCTTCCTGAATGGAGAGGCCTTTATTTTTAAGTAACATAAACATTGACTGAAATGTTATTCATCAAAAATATAACATTCACCCCCTTAACTGATCCTACAATTAAGGGAGGAATAACTGATGAAATAATGGTTTCTCAAATACATTAATGTAAAGATTAATAGGAGGAATCATATCCATTAACTGAATTCATCTAGTTGAACACCCACCTTCCATAGGCTAATGGAAAAGCTATACAAAAATTATGAAAATGAGAGAATTTACATCAATAACACGACTTAATCAATTCTGTTCTCCTTGTGAGGCAGTGGCTTTTTTTTGCTCTACTTCCCAACCAAAAGAAGAAAACAGACTCCAACTTGAATCTCTTATAATGAGCCATATTTCTTAAAACTCAAGATAAGACAACTGGTCTTATCTAAATTGGGAAGGATTGGGCCTGTACTAATCAATGAAGCATTTACACTTCTAAATCTCACAAAAAATTTCTAGATACAGTATTACAGTACCGTATATATAATCATGACTAACAATCAGTGAATCAAGGCATGCAATCATCAAAAATGTGATTCAGTACTGTTAACAAACTAAACAATGGATGATACAATAACTTGTAAGGCTACACGTCCAATTGCTTATTAACCCATCAGTACATTTTCTGTGCATTGCCTCAGTCTGTGTCACCCAGCAGAGGAAGAGACCTGGAGCTACCTATCATATTGGTCGTGGATATCTCCAATAACTACAGTTGTTGTTGAAAGATTTTAAGAGTGATCCCTTTAACCCTTAAGCCCCGGGGAAAATAGGCGGATGTTCTGGAACGTCACCTGGGGCCTAAGGGTTAAAAAATACACTCTTTGACCTACCCAACCTATTTGTACCAGCTGACAAAAGCTTCTGAAGGATATTCAAATGATGAAACTATGAAACCATTTGAGGATATAAGCACTTTGAAATTTCTTAGGAACTGAAACATTGAATGTAACAAGTTTTGTCTGTCTGACCATTGGGTACAGTACCTATATAACTGACAACTCCTGGGGCCATTTCATGGTGTTTGTGATTTAATACTAAATCATTTTATTCAAACAAGTCATAGAAGAGGAGCAAAAAAAAACACCTTTTACAAAGGAAAAACATTCAAAAAATAGTACGTATATGATCAATGCAAGTATCTCTTGCTATACGAGCATTTGAGCTACAGTACGAAAAATCACTAACTAATTTCCTGAATTACAACCTATTTTTCGTGTTAATAGATGCCACAGTGTAAATACCCTGGTACACCGACTCCAGCTCGGTAGACCGCATACTGTAGTAGCACCAACCCAACTTTCTTCACTTATACAAATTTGAGTTCAGGCAAAAATTCAAATGGCGTGCCCACAGGAGTCAGCTGGGGCGGCCACTTTCCTTGAACGCTCTCTCTACGAGGCTGAGGTAGGAGTTATGTAATGGTTATTTTCCAATCTCTAAGTTCGGGTAAATAAACATAACTTCTTTTATTTTTTTATTCAGATATATGCACACACTCACCTACATAAAGGAAGTAAAAAATTATATAATAAGGTAAAAAATATAAAGGGATTAATCATTTCTTCGTGCACCACTGAGAGTTAGCAGGATGACCTGGGAAGTTATGTTATGTTTATTATTTAACTCGTAATTTTGGGTAGATAAACTCAACGGTGCTACTACAGTATGTTACCTACCGAGCTCGAGTTGTGTCTACCGGGATATTTACACTGTAGCATCCATTAACCTAACCTAGGTTAGGTTAAGATATATTAGATTGTTAGGTTAGGTTGGGTTAATTGATGCCACAGTGTAAATATCCAGGAAGACCAACTCCAGCTCGGTAGACCGTGGACAATAGTAGCACATACTTAACTGTCTTCACTTTTTTTTATTTCGTTATATGCACACACAATCCTACATACAGTACATAATGTGCACAAAAAAGTAAAAGAAATAACTATCATAAAGTAAAAAAACATAAAGGGAATAAATATTTTGTTGTGCATGAGAGTGGCTGGGCTGGGTTGTTTTGTTATGGCAAAGTTTGAGGACGGCCACGCATGACACAGGCAGCCGAGTTAAGCTTTCATTTTGCTTTTCCTTAATAGTTTTAGCTGCATATTTTCATTCAGGAAATAAATGTTTTTAATGTGTTTGGTAGTAAATTACAATACTGTAGTTGTGTACGACTGTACAGTAATCCCCCGGGTTACAGAAGGGATGTGTCCTTGAAAAGTTGACTGTAACACAAAATTTTGTAACATGAACCCCATTTTCCCATTGACCTCCATTATATAATTGGAGATGCTTTCCTAATGAAACATTTTATCGATTTATATAATCTCAAATTAATGATACAATACAGAACAAGTACTCCTCGGCTTACGACCACCAGGACATACGACCGCCTCAGTCGTACCAAAAAATTTTCAAATTACATACGTATTTTCCAGTTCCGAAACGTTTCCGTCCCGTACGAGAGCGTGGTGTGGGCTAAGCCGCCTCGTGGTGTACAGCGTCCACGCCACAGCGCGCTCAGTTGGTGTTTGGCCGTCGTTGTTGTCGGTAGTGATCGCGCTGTGTACTGACAATATTTTCGGTTCTAATTCCCTTTAAAATGACTGGCAAGAGTAAAAGTGAGAGTACTGGCTGGTGCTCAGAAGAAACAAATGACAGAGGCATTTGCTACTATCAATAAGGGGATGCAAATGTTTGACGAAATGGATCAAAATGTTGAGCGTTTTGCAAAAGTTGACAGAATGATCCAAGATGCACTTACTTGAAAAGAAAAGGCAAATTGTGCAGTCTAAATTGGACATACTGCATATTTTAAGAAGTCCCCCACTGCTGTCTCCTCACCCCACCAGTGCTGTCTCTTCACTCCCTAAAGATGATCCAATACCTTCAACAAGCAAGTATGTTAGCCTGTCTGAAGAAAGCAACATTGATGACCCACCCAGCTCTGGCTCCTCCTCTGCTTCATTCAATTAATGTAGTCTCCATGTTTAATTAAAAAATTATTGGGCCCCGTGTGCATTCAGTTGACTACATTGAAGGCAAGTGCACAGTAACACTTTATTCATTTTTCATTATTGATCACTTTTACTGTACTGTATTTTATTTTAGATTTTCTATGTATTATTTTTTGCATTTTCGACTTACGACCAATTCGACTTACGACCTGGATTTGGGTCCCTAACCCAGTCATAAGTCGGGGACTGCCTGTATAGCACAATACAGTATAGCAGTCACTGAAAGTGTTTATATTTCTTTTTTCATTTTCAAATTTATCACCACTTTTCAGCTTACCAGTCATTTGGGCTGTTGGTCTGTTCTTTGTAACTTTGTTATGAACTTTACTGTCCAGTACAGGAGGAAAATGGAGTACAGTATACCCTCACCAACTGCAGATTTCGGGTATCCACGGAATTTACTCTGTACAGTATACCATTTCACCAAACACGGCATTGAATTTTGAGTGTTCGTGGATTAGCGCAACGTCTTTATCCCTCCGCGGTCAAATGAATTCCTCCGTAAATGTGAGGAATGAATAAAAATAATACTAAAATAATAAAAGAAAAATACTGCATTGCCATTTGGTAATCGTTTCATTAAGGACACGGGAGACAGGAGAGCGCTCCCTCCTCCCGGTCCCATGATAATGGGCTAACTCCCGTGGATGCAAGAAATGTTTATTCTCTTCATATTTTTTACCTTATGATAATTTTTTATTTTTTTATTTTTTTGCATATTCTGTATGAACAATTGTGTGTGCATGTAATAGTAAAGGATAATAATAAAAAATAATAAAAATATGTAAAAATATGTACTGTATATGTACCCAAAACCACGTTGGAAAAAATAAAACAATAAAATAACTTGGGGTAACAGCTTGGCCTGGTAGGGAGAGGCCGAGATCCCTGACACCACACCCCACTTCTGCTCCCCCTTTCTCCTCACAATCTGATACCAACTACCATGGTAAGTAAGAAATGTTTGTTCTCTTCATGTTTTTGACCTTATAATAATAATTTCTTTTATTTTTAAAAATTCTGTATGAACAATTGTGTGTGTGTGTAATGGTGTAAAAAAAAAATTAAATAAATAACATTATGTATATACTGTATACCAGAAAATATGAGATGAAAAATAACAATAACTCAATTTGGCCTGCAGAGCTAAGGGGATATAGCTACAGGGACAGTCTAACATGGCAACCTGCCAAGTGCACACGCACGCACGAACACACATGCACACACGCACACACATGCTTTTCATTTTTCTTATTTTATAGAAATTTTTCTAATTTTATAGCAATAATCCATCTCCATGGAGATGTACGTAGTATATTGTAAAATTTATATTACAGTACTATTTAATCTATATTAAGCTATATTATATGTATTTGACTTATATTTATTTAAGTATACCTGTACAATAATTGTACACATATTGTTTAGTGAAGGAACAGGCAATTTAGTTAGGCTCTCACGAGTGTTAACTGTGGCCATGGAGCCTAACCCTCTATTTCCCATAAGCCTTTACTAATTCTTGCCAACCAAAGGGTGTTTCAGGAACCTAACACTCACGGTTGGCGAGGGACTACAGTACTGTACAGTATTGTACTGTATTGTATGTTGACAACACAAAGATTTAAGTGGAGGAGGTGGTGGATGCTTATCGAAAAACTAAAGAATGAAAATTGCAATTCCTGGACTTGATTTGTTTTTCGTTTTTTTTGAGATATAACTTTTTCAGGGAAAATATTTGGTTGTTGCCATGCACAGAAATGACTATGAATAAGCTTTTTTTTTATAGTGTTTCTGTCGAAAATGAGTCATTATGAAGATATGGAAACCCCCAAATATCAGCCTTGTGGGGAAAAACATGTAAAATGACTCAAATATCAATACATACTGTACTGTACATGTCAAACCCAACCTAACCAAAGAAACCAGAAGGACCCAACCTAACCTCCTATACAGTGGGGCTCCACCCCACTGGATCCCCTGGTGTGTAACCCTAACCTAACCTTACCTTACCTAAATAAAACTTAATTTAATTAACAGATGGAGGAGGATCTTAACAATACAGACAGTCTGAATTACACCTTGGATACTTTATTACACCAATCTCCCAACGAGCACCTTTCACAAAGAGATTCCATTTTGTGACAACGCAATTCAAATTTCAAAGCTTGCGTATGCTCATGAGTTTCATGTGACATCGACACTTCTGCTGACTGGCTGAGTAAGAACTAAACAATGTACTGTATATCCCCCCCAAACCTGTACAATCTTTAAGTGAAATAGAAAAGTCAAAATAAATTTAAAACTATAAATTTCTGATGGAAATGCTAAAAAATATATATTTTTTTCTTTTTTTTTGCCCTATCTCCCTATAAAAGATTCAACATAGAGTTCAGTGCATGGCAAGTTCCGGTACGGAATATTATTTCAGTACTTTTAGCACAAAATTAATAAAAAATTGATGGCTACATGTGCATAAAAAATTATTACCTGCAAAAATGTATTTCTTCCACCATTTTTGGGATGTTCTTTATAAACTGAAGGACTTTTCAACTATTAAAAAGTTTCCTAACTTGGCTCCTTAACCCAGACACCTGTTCTTAAATATTACAGAGTTCTTATAAAGTTTTCTGTAACTGTTAGATTGAGTTAGGTTTGGTTTTATCAGTTTTTTGCACGAGTGATCAAAAATGCATTATTTGTGTGAAATAAAAAATAAATAAATACAAAATAAACAGTTAATATTTACGACCAACCTGCGGACGAGTTATTTTTATTATGGTTTATTTTTTTGCTTTATTTTTATCAGTTCTGAAATAATAACCATTTCTTGTACAAATTTTTCGTTTCATAGATACAGGTAATTTAATTAGGCGCCTCCGAGGCACGCACTAATTTGTCTTCCCGGCGATAATAAGACCGTGCTGTGCTTTTCCCGAGCTCGCGGCAGTTACATTTTCAGCATGACGTGTGAAGGTTGTCACCGGTGTTATTTGGACATAATTTGCGAATTTAGGGATAAGGACAACGAGATCTTTCAATTTTTCAAAGGCCACGGCATTGTTCCTTTAAATAGAGACTGTCTTCACTGTGGGAATTCCTGTGCTTTCAGACCGGAAATTTTTTTTTTCATCACTTGTTCAACGCCGTGGCTCGACGTTTCCCGCCATCACAATAAATCACTCCGCTGCCAGGGCTGCATAAGCGCCGATGCGCCAGCATCATTTCACGTCCAGAAAATGCCTCAAATTTCCAATAAAAATGCTCTAGAGTAAAGTATTCTTATTTTTGCTCTATCTCCCTATATACTGTACAAATCAATTTAAAGTACCATTCTGACCTTTTCAGAATCTTTACCCAAAAATTGTCTTATTTTTTGCAGACTTTTTCATTCCCGAATACATGCACAGCCCCACATTTTAACACCAGTTATGTACTGCTAAATTATATGATTTATCAGACACAAAATGAACACCCCTAACCTAATTTATCAAACCCAAGTTAAAGTTGGGTAGGTTAGGTTGATTCAATTTGTTGTTCAATTAAATTGCAGTACAGTATATAATTTAGGAGCAGCTGGTGCAATTTTGGAAGCATTTAAAATGTAGCAATAAATACATCATCTAGTGTTAAGTTGTAGAAAAACGGTTAATTTTTCGTTACCACCCATCACCTTTTTTCACGTGAAAAATATATTTTTTGCGCTAGTTTTATTGCTGTTTTAGATGATTCTGACCTTTATCTTTGGGGTAAATCACTTTTTTTAGTTAGGTTAGGTAAGGTTGGTTGATTGGTTCCTTTGGTATGAGAATAGGTTATTTTTGGTGTATTACTCAAATCTGACCTAAATTTTTTGTGCAAATTAGCATTTTTTGGAAAAAATCTTAATTTTCATTTTAACAGAAACTGCTAATTTGCACACCAAAAATAACCTATTCGCATACCAAAGGAACCAACCTAACCTAACCTTGCCTATTCTCATACCAAAGTAACAAACGAACGAACCAACCTACCTAACCTAACTAAAACAAAGAAAAAGAAAAGTGATTTGCCCCAAAGATAAATGTCAGAATCATCTAAAACAGCAATAAAACAAGCGAAAAAATATATTTTTCACATGAAAAAATGTGATGGGTGGTTAACGAAAAATGACTGAAAATTTTTCAAAATAGATTTCTTAAAAATATTATAATGCGGTATAAACTTATTTCGTATTTTTTTTTTGGGGGGGGGGGGATTTTCATAAGGTGAGAATTTATTTAGGTTCAATAAAACAAATTCTTAAGTTGCTGAGGTGTACTAGCCATAAAGTATTATTTAAGAATGGAACTTTTAAACATCTTGTGAAATTTTGTAAATGACAACAAAGGAACTTTATCTTATGTTACGTTGCTTTAGTTTTGTTAGTCTAGGTTGTTTCAGGGGAGTGAGTTCTCAGACAACTATGAGGAGTCCAATCGCCATTGGGATACAGAATCACAAGAACAGCCTATATTATATTTAACCATTCAATTCATAACCACTAGCTACATAGAAATTATCATTATACTGTAAGAATCAATGTAACAGTAAATTTCTCATAATAAAAAACCCTACGAACACCTGCATAGAATTCCTGTAACAAAATTCACCTTCCATTTTATCCCTGCATAATATCTGCTATTAAAATGAGATGTACAGTGCTATCACCTTCAAATGGATGTGTATCTCCACTATACCCTGATACACTGATCATACAATATATTTTTTATTCCTGCTATTATATAGAATCATTTATATGGTTTCTGTTCTAAGGCTTGAGTGACTAAAATAAATTTAACATTAAACCATGAACGCCATGACGCGGCTGCGGGAGTGGTCAGTGTCCCAACAGTCAGACATTACATTCAATAGCGACTTGTTCATCATTCACAAACTACTTACATGGTTGCTTTCTGTCTCCCTGGTACTTGTTATGTATCAGTAAAGTAGTTAAAACCGATGAAAACACATGTACCAGTAAGAAAGGTACTAGTTTAACGTGGCCCTTGGAACAAACACCAATATGTAAACAAATGCCGGGGTGTGCAAACTAGCGATTGGTCTAGTCTGCGCACGAACCTGTTATTTGGACCAATGAGAATGCGGATTGTTCGTATGTATATTCTTATTGGTGGTGAAAGTAGGGGCTTGGTGTGCAGGAAGCGCGGCAGCTGTGTGAGGGGTGGCCGACGGGAGGTAGGGGGGTTTATTTTACCCATCTTCCATGGGGTTTTGCTGGTGTTTGTATAAGGATAGTTTTCTTTGCTGGGTATAGCAATAATCTTATCGATAAATACAATTATAGGAAAATAAAATTCATGGGTTAAAGAGACTCAAATTCGATGAAACTGGTCAAATTAAGTGTCCAGATTGGCAATTCAGAGAATGGGAAAAGCATTGTCACTTTTATTCTAGTGGTTTTATTTCTTTATGTATTAATGGCAATGCTGTAGTAGGTAGGCCTTGCAAATTAAATTTCTCGCTCTATCCGTCCTTCACATATGCTTGTCTATCTCTGAATACGTTGTTTCCCCTCTCTCTCTCTCTCTTTCGTAATTGCCTATCTTTCTGTTCAAATGTTTCGTATTATTTTTGTTCTCAGTTCCCATTCTCCTGATGTTTGTTGGTGTCTGTCTCTTTAACTGGATTGTCTCTCTTTTCTCTCTCGCTATTTCTCGTACATTAGTATTACAGAAGCAACTGTAAATAGAATTCGCATGAAATCAACACATTTTTTTAAATTGCCAGAAATAAAAAATATTCGTTTCCTTATCTATTAATACTTTAAGATTACTTTCGTTATTTCGGACTCTAAAATAACATACAGTAATTATAATTACAGGTATTACTGACGCCTATTCAAAACGAAGGAGGCTGGATATCGGCTAAAACCTTTATGATACTCAACTATAATGCCAAATCTCTGTAGATTGTTTTTATTGTAATTATTGAAAATAACTCCGAGTGGAATGTAATTGGACGTACACACTTTGAGTTTATTGGTACTTACTATCTTCATTTCCTAGTTAGTATAGTTATAAGGGTATAGGGTTACGTTAAGTCATGTTGTCTCACACTCAGGATGGGATGGATGGAAACTCTAGGTGGTGGTTTTCTTATATAAAATATATTATATACAAAACGGTCAGGTGCTGTAGATGCAGTGCGGTGAGAAGCTTGCTGAGAGGTGTTGGATGAGGAGCTCGTTGAGAGGTCTTGCCGGTTCAGGAACGTGGAGTAGAATGAGAGCTGGACAGCGAGGAGCTTGCTCGAAGGAGGTTTTGCTTGTTCAGAAACGTAAGGTAGAATGAAAGCTGGACAGCGAGGAGCTTGCTCAGAGGAGGTGTTGCATGTTGCACGGTGTAGCTAGAATGAGAGCTGGACAGCGAGGAGCTTGCTCAGTGGAGGAACTTAGGGTAGAATGAATCTCAATGACGAGAATGAGAGCTTATATACACAGCAGCCGGGAGTAAACCCGGATGCAAGCGTCACAGATGGCGACCACCCCGTGAGAAACTCGCCGGTTGCTAGGATACTGTTGCATTGGAATGGGCTAGGCTTGTCAGATGTAAGAAGGAGTATCACAGGTGGCGGCCCCCGTGAGAACCTCGCCGGTGGTTGAATTCCGTTGCTATGGGATACGGCTACACTGTTGTAGGGGAGAGATCCACTACAATACTCCCCCTCCCCTCTGGGCGCTGCAGGAGACTTGTTGTTACTTTTACTTTTTTACTTTTATCCTCTTCGCCACTGATCGGCTTGTTAGCCGCTTGGGCGATCGGTCACGACTCTTTTCCTTTATATTCTTCACCAAAAGGTCGGCTCGCTAGCCGCCCGGGCGATCGGTCACGTCTCTGTCACGCACTGTTGGCAAATACTGGGCATGCACCGGCTCCTGAATGTACCTGAACCCGCTCCAGTGTTGGTCAAGTCTTCTCTTGAAAGAGCTCACACTCGGTGCCGTCACAACACTTTCTGGTAGATTGTTCCAAGAGTTTACAACCCTCACTCCGAAAAAGTTTGCCCTCACGGTTTTCCGGACTTGCGGCTTCTTCAATCTTGAGCTGTGACCCCTTGTGGGGCGAGCGTCCGCCAGCTCCAAGTAAGGACACTCAACTGAGTAGTGCCCCCTGAGATGCTTATAAACCTCAACTAGGTCCCCCCTTGCCCGTCTGTAGTATAAGCTAGGCAAGTTCAGGCGCTCCAATCTCGCAGGGTAGCTGAGATGCCGAAGTGCAGGCACCAGCTTGGTGGCCCTCCTTTGAACATTTTCAACCAACTGACAGTCCCTAGCATATCTCGGGGACCAGATGGGGTGACAGTACTCCAGATGGGGAAGCACTTCACTCCTGAAGATCGTCACGAGGGACGGACCGTCTAGATATCTGAACGACCTTCTTATAAGACCCAATAATTTATTTGCCTGATTTACCTTCTTCTCACAATGGCCCGAGAACTTCAGCTCATTGTCAACATACACAGGTCTTCTCACGCAATTACATTTTCATCCGTTGGGATTGCCTCCTTACGTTGGTAGCCCCAGTGCATCTCCGTGACATTGAATAGCCATTCGCATTCCTGGAAGGGTCCTGCAGCTCTTCGCGGTTTTTCATAGGTCATCGCAAACATTTGTATGGAGGGTCAACGTCAGGCATATCATTTATGAAACAAACAAACAACAGCGGCCATCACTCCGGTTTGTTACAGGTCAGATGACGATTTTGCCATTATCACCATTGCTTGCTCATGTGAAGTTTGTGTTTTTGTTGTTTTTGTGGTACACTGTCGAAAGCTTGAAATTAGTAATATTGTGATATTACCACCCGTTCTAGAATAGGTCAAATATCAATATTGAGCATGTGTCGCAAGACATAAACCGTGTTGAATTTAAGTTGTTTGATGTCATGCTGCATCTTGATAATACTCTCGCACTTATGCTGTAGCTCAGTCTATAGTTGTTGGGGTGCTATGCCTCTTGAAGATAGGACATGCACTTCATTCGCCATTTGTTCATCCAGGCATTTACAAAACAGAATCTTCAGGGGCTCTGCAAGCTCGTTATGTCTCACATGTGAGACATAACGGGCAGGGGTCTGGATCAATCGGCCGCTGTGGGAGACGACTCTGTCTGGAGGCACAAGATCTGTGGGAGAAGCAGAGGGAGAAGGAGGGTTGTGGATAAGAGAGGGTTGTACTGGCGAGGAATGTGGTGCTTCTCTCGCAGCAGGTGCAGGGGTGCCGGGTGGGGTATCTGAGTCGTCAGGAGCAGTAGGTACCTGAGAATGAAAAGAGGGTACCCAGAAATGTTGTGGACGAGGTGGTGCTGTAAGGGGGTAATGGTGGGCAGACAGGCGAAGGAGGTGCGGGTTGAATGTGTTCAGGGTGCCGGGAAGGCTGGCATGGGGCAGTAGACTTGAATGCAGAAACTGCCTGTCGTAGTGTTTGCAGTAGGTCGTGACGGGCAGCAGGAGTGAAGTGGTCAAGGTCAGAAGTAAGGCGTGTGATGTGCTGCTTGATAGTGTCGGAGGTTATGGTGTCTACCAATCCCCGTCGATGTTGCTTCCTCGTGTAGTTGCAGGGAGCCTCACAGTGTCTAGCTTTGCACCAAAACGTTGATGGTACCAACAGAAGGTAGGTACATTGTGCTGGGGGCTGGCTGCGGGGTCTGGGGCAGGACGGGAATGTTGGGGTTGGTATGACACAGTGCATGGGGCAGGACCAGGAGAAGAAGCAGGCATGGAGGAGCAGAGCTGTTCAATGGTGTCCATCCTGCGGTTCAAAGTTTGCAGCAGGTCCCTGATGTCTTGCTTGTCTGGTGGAAAGCTACTTCTCTAAGGAGCGTTGATCAGGTTGACGAAACCGGGGCTAAGTGATGGTGTGACCACTGAGTGGTTTGCGGCAGCATGGCGCACAGCAGTGTATTCATGGAATACTCTGTCTGCCGTGGCTGCATAGGTCGCCGAGGTAGTAGAGTAGTCCAATGCCGAGAGGACGAGACGAACTTCTGCAGGGAGCTTCTGAGTGTGAAGCTGGAGCAGGATAGTGTCAGGAAGCCTGTCTGTGTGGCGGGAGTTCAGTCTTCGCATCTTGTCCCAAAGACGTGCAGGCGTTGAGTTGCCGAGGGGTAGACTTGATAAGTCTTGTAGGAAAGTGGTGTGGGGCCGCTGGTTGCGTCTTTCAGAGCATCCCAGCATCCTGTAGGGCAGCGAATTTTTTGTCAGCTGGAGGGTTGGTGATGGTCTCTGATACTTGCGTGGTGACTTCTGTGGGCAGGGAACAGACCAGGGCGACGTACTTTTGTTTGTCTGTAGCTGTAGAGCCGATGAGAGCTGCTTCCGTGTGGAAAAGCCGGTCTTCAATGTTGTGATTGAAGACTGGGAGAGTGATCCGTTTCTGCTCCATCCTGCGTGAGTGCGTTTTTCCGGGGATCACCATTTGTAGGGTTACTGTTATCGCCACAGTAAGATAAACTAGAAGATAGAGAGAAAGAGAGGGATAACCATAATAAGATAAACTAGGCGAGAGAGAGAGAGAGAGGGGATGAGATAAGATATATAGTGTTGACAACGAATTTGCTGACGAATCTGCTGAGGTATTTCAATACAAAACAGATGGCCCTCACCTCTGGGCTGAGATTGCCCTCGAGGGTAGTCTACCGATTCCTACAGGACAGACAAAACCTTGGTTCAGACCACTAGACCCTAAAACGTGAGTGATCGTGAAGTATTAGAATCTGCTAAGAAACTCTAAATAACTTTAATAAGTATATTTGTGTACTGAAATTTGATCATATTATACAAATTGTCTCCTGTATCAATAGTTATGAGTTATATTTAAGATGTTAACAGGCTATGTACTGTAAATTGATTGTATTATTCATACTATGTGTCCTGAGATAACAGCATTTGTTATATGAGAATTGCTCTTTAACAGGTTTTGACTGAATTATATGGTACGCGTCAACGTTGAGGGTTTATTTCTCCAGCAACAAACCAATAATGCTCCTATGAGCGTTAACAGTTACATTAAGTTATGTTGTCTCGC